TGCAAAGAGTGATTATTTATAAAATAACATAAACGCATTGTCAGCCAATCCGCGTTTCGCACAAAAACGCGTTTAAAAAGTCTATAAAAAGTTATATTGTTAAAAAAACACTATTCACAGTATGCGTGAATGATCAAACTAAAATAACATGACAATACGTGTAACAAAAATATGTCATTAAAACACTGTAAAATACTGTTTCGGCTAACAAAGGCTTTGTTGACTTTTATGAAAATTAGTTTGTAAGCTATCACTTTGCGACAATATATAAATTGCAGATGAACTAAGCGATTTGACGCACGTCCGACTACCTCGCCGGCATTGGTGAAACTAAATAGCATTTACTTTCTACCCTCCGCAAACCGAAGCGAATCGACACACTCTCGGAACTCCGCCCACCATCGGGCAATCATTTCAAACGAATGGCGCGCGGTACGAAAACGCTGATAGGCCCCGCCTATACTTAAGCCAACCATTGGCCGAGCGTAATAATCCCGAATAAATTGATTGGAACGCTCCGCGAAGTGTACCCGTCGCATATTTTTATCCTCTATTTGTTTTTAGGTTATTTCTGTTCGTATTGTCTCGAATCCGCGCGGATGAACTGCTCCCGCCGCCCTACGCTCGTACTTTTTAGCCGACGCTTTGTTTGCCGTACCTTTGCGGGGGACATTTTCGAACGATGCTCTGAACTAACTTCGAGGAGCAAAGGGGGATGGTTTCATGAAGTGTAATTGTAAATGTCATGCTCGGATTTCTGACATGCGACACGAGCGCTTACCTTGCACGCGCGTTGAGTTCTTCTGAATATGTTTTATTTATTTTACACAAATAATTACTTAGAACGAATCAGTGTTTCTCAATAATAAACTTATGAGAAACCATAAATATAATCGATATAATATATAGGATAGGGCGGGACACAAAGTTTAAATTTGACTTTGAGCAAATATAAATTATATTGTGAAAACCAAATCAAATATATCATAACAAATAACGTATAACAAAGAAACAAATATCTGAATATGCTCAGTAAAATTCACAGCTAATTCATCATTGTAGAAATGTGTTATTTTGCAGTTTTTCAAAAATTTGTCAACTGGTCTTTTTTACCCCATAGTCGGGGTAATATGGCATGCGTAGGGGGCAAACAGGTCCAATGTTTTATATTTAATTCTAGAAGTATTTTACGAAATAATAGTGACATTATTCGTGAAATATAAACTTCATGAGTACGTTTTGTATAGGGATAACATTGTAACATTGATCTGTTATTACGTCAGATCTATTTGTGAGCAGAGCAGAAATAACAACTTATTAATTTATGTCTTGTAAAATTGTGTTTTTAACTTGATTTACTTTTTTATTTACCTACTCTTTTTAAATGTTTATGCTTTTGCCAGGGTAAAGATTCTTTTGGTTCTTTATCCAACCCACAAGTAAGCTATTTTAGAGATTATTTGAAAGAAAACTAAACGTTAATTAAAATTGAGAATACATTTTATAAATCAAATAAATAACGTATACCTAAATATTAGTCCACGAGCCAGTGAACTCTTTGACTAACCGGTTTTCACAGAGCTAGAAATTTTTTTTATGATATTTTATTATCGACCCATTAAGAAAGTACCATTCTGACAGTAATTCCGCGATTGCATCATCATCCCTTCAATTTGTAAAAATGTCAAAAAAATTTTTTTTCATAACTTGCTCCCACAAGGCTGAAATATGGTGAGTGTTTTTATAACTGTTCAGAAAGCATATGCTAATAGCCAGCCCATTCTGACGATTGCAAGGGCCTGCCAGTACATAATAATCACGACGCGCAGGGGTGTGGGCGCATTGCCATACATTCTTTGAAGATTTTTTGAAAACATCCGATACACCAAACTTCAACTTTGTATCTCACCTTATGGCCGAGATATCATTGAAAATATGCCAAAGTGGCCCCTTTTTCAAACTCAATTTTTGGCGTAACCATAAAAGATATTGAAAAAAACATTACGTGATTCTACTTAAATTGGCTTAGACCACATAATGTATATTAATATATGTTAATCCTAATGTATATTAATATATATGAATAATCCTTTATTATTAGCTAAAAAAGATAAAATAATGTTTCAATTAATGCTTTCGGACAGAGCGTTTTATTTAATTACTTTATCATTAGCGTTATTGGAAAGCCTATTATTTTTTCTTCTAGTGCTGCAAATATTTTTCAAATCCAATTTGTGAAACACATTGAAAAATTGAACAAACCAGAACCAGTATACCGCGAACCAGTATTCCTCGAACATTTCGTTACGGTACGGGAAGTTACAGCAATTTGCCTTAAGGCACGATGTTATACACAACTAGTTTAGATTTTTATTTACAAGTATATATGTAAACATTCCATAGCGTGATCGGGTTATTTATATGCATCTGGTTATTTATGTGATAAATTTAAATCAGATTTTCAAATAAAAATTATTCGAATAAAAAACTAATGCAAATCAACAAATAGAAATGCAAATATTTAAAACATTGTACTCTATTTATTGATATTATAACTGTTTATTTCAATAAACATATTAATTTTATTCAGTTTAAGATCATTCGAATGTCGCTTCCTAAAGTCGACGCTCATACAACATAACAGCATCCCAATTTTTTTTCACGCAAGAATCTCACTCACTCAAAAAAAGAAAAGTTGCAGATACGTTGTTCAGCTTTCTATAATAATATTGTTGTGTTGAAGAGATAAGTTCGGAAAGGTTACACGTAGTATTTGAAGTATCGAGGCAAAAGATATTGAGCACTTTAAAAAGTATCTAATCAAAATATCGATGCCAAAAAAATATCGTAGCGAAAGTATCGATAGTACTCTATCGAATTTTGAGTACTTTTCATAAAAATCAAACATAAGTGCAACAAAGATCTAAAACTCATTAAATATCATATCACAATATTAGAATGAATTCTATTGCTTGTATCTGATGTATTAAATTAGAATCATTTTCAATATTGTAAATTGATTTCAATATTGTAAAATTCTATAATTTTTCAAAAAAAAGAAGAAAAGTTATAATAGTTGAGTATTTTTGATTAAAACAATATAATAGTCTGATACTATATTCAAAAAGCAATACTTTTTAAGTATTTTTAAGCACAATAATATTTTTAATATTTTTAAGTAAAATAATATTTTATAATTGTTGAATATTTTTATATGAATAATTTTAGCAACTTTAAAAAACCGTTTTTTTTAATTTTTTTATTTTTTTTAATTTTTTTTTCTTTTTTTTATTTTATTTTTTTTATTTTTTTTTATTTTTTTTATTCATTTTTTTTCTTTTTTTTCTTTTTTTTTATTTTTTTTTTTTTTTTTTTTTTTTTTTTTTCTTTTTTTCCTTTCGGAGCGATGGGATTTAAAGTTTAAATGGTTCCGAGAAACTCAAACCCATATGTTTGCATGTTGAAATTCAAAAATTTCAAAACATGGGTATTTTGCGTTAAAAAAGAATCGAAATATAATTATTTCAAATAATAATATTCATCAATTTCTATATATTAGTATTTTGCGTAAAAAAAATCGAAATATTATTATTTCAAATATTATTATGCATCAATTTCTATGTATAGTATTTTGCGTAAAAAAGAATCGAAATATAATTATTTCAAATAATAATATTCATCAATTTTTATGTATTAGTATTTTGCGTAAAAAAGAATCGAAATATAATTATTTCAAATAATAATATTCATCAATTTCTATATATTAGTATTTTGCGTAAAAAAGATTCGAAATATAATTATTTCAAATAATAATATTCATCAATTTCTATGTATTAGTATTTTGCGTAAAAAAGAATCAAAATATAGTAAACGCAAAATACTAATATATTGAAATTGATGAGTATTATTATTCGAAATAATCATACTTTATTTGTTGAATATGTTTTTATAAAACATTTAAGGTACCTACTTTAAAATCCGTTTCATTTTACATAAGAGTATTAAATAAACATCTTTATTTATTAGTGTGCTCATATTCATTTTGGGTTTGTGAGACTGATGACCCTGAGGGATCGTTTTTGGACAATTCTTTGAACAGTTACGACCTCCTAGAGAGACTATTGTATTGCATTTGCAATGATTGGTGTTCATAGTTGGTCGATGAGTGGTGTTCATAGATTACGCTGTCGATTCTTTTTGAGTACTATCGACGAAAAGAATCGATATTGGAAAATAGATCGAGCTAAAAAATCGATAGCAAAAGTACTCACTATCGACCGCAAAGTATCGATATTTACTCAGTACTCGATATTTTGTTCTAACACTAGTTACACGTACCTATAATTCCTACATCTCAGCTATACACAAATGGATTAGATACACGATAGCGTGCAATATGCATAAATTGTATGAAGATGCTGCATTATTATCATTCATCCTTCTCTGCAACTATTCAACTTAATTTTTGAATAGAATAGGGCTGGGGTACAAAGGTCTAATTTGACTTTGAGTAGGTAATTATATTGCTCTTGTAAACCAAATAACACATATCAAACAAACACACACACACATACACACATACATAATTTTTTTCTAAGGTATGCCAAAATGTTCCAACATTTTGGCATACATTTGAGAAACATTTTGCAATTACTATAACTTACCCTACGGGAAGTTATACACTAGTGCCGCATAAGGCATTGTGCCTTAAGGCAAATGTTGGAATGTTCGCCGTTCCGTAATGAAATAATACAAAAATATTAATTTTTTTTGTTATAATTTATTTTTGTTAATTGAGACTAAAAATATTAAATGTTTTCAAATATATTATTATATTTATTTAGTTATTTATTCATAAGCAAGCCGTAATCAATAATAATAAATATTATTTCAGGCTTTTGTAAAGCTTATTCATATTTAATACTTAAAGGAAAGAAATTTTATAATATTTATAGTAGCTGCACGATTCTCGCTTTTGAAAAAAGAGCTAAAAAAAAGCA